ACCAGTCTTTTTATGATTATTTCCCTCCTTGGGCATTTTTGGAGAACAAAATGTGTAACACCTCTGAAACCTTGGCAAGTTTTAGGGTCCAGGCATACTAAAAGGGAACTTTGTTTCCAACCTTGAAAGCTACCAGGCGTATTTGGTTATTAGTAAGAAGTTACATTCCAATCCTGAATCACATGAGAAATTGTGGAATAACCCAGATTTGAAAATAGCATGGAAGATGCTTTACTGGAATGCTTGGGCTAAACAAGGGATCCGCATCTTAGACCACTTGATCTCTAATAGTTGTTTTAAAAACTTTGAGAATGTGAATGTTGAATATGACTTACCTACAACATTCAGTTGGCAACATATACAAATGAAATGTATATTATGGAGTCCTGGGTGCTCTCTGAGCTGGTTATTTGCTTGCAGACATTTCATTATCCAACTAGATAAACATCATCAGTGCCAGTGAGTGTGGGGTGTGCTGCCTGTTTATATACAGTAGTTTGCCCTGCCAGTGTTGGTGGGGGTGTGGTTTTCTCCTTGATAGTTCCTTGATTAGGATATTGTTTTCTGGGAAACTCTGAGCATCCTAGACCAAGCTAAATCCAAAAATGCTAGGGAATTCCTGAAAGCCTGGCATTCAGACAAATCAGCCATCAATAGACACATAGAAATAAGCCATATTTACACCCCATTCAGAGAGACAATAAAAAAGCTAAGAAGGAAACAAAAGAGACCAGAACCAACCTCTCCAGCAGCCAACACCCAAATAAGCAGGGATTAACACCAGGCAATCAATCAAGCAGAAAAAAAAGTGGGGTTTTTTTGGGGTACAGAAGTTAGGCAGCTCTGGCTGAATGCACCAAAGCAAAAATAGAAACATGTCACCCTCCAGATAATCAGAACCTGAGTCCCCAAAGGCCCTGCCACCATAGCTAATGCTAAGCATTGATGGGAGTTGTCATCTGAAATCCATCCCTCTTCCCCACCGCAGTCCCACGGTTTTTGTAAGGACATCTGTAACCATCACAGGCCGAATCAATTATCACCTAATAATATGGAACAAAGAAACCTGTAGGAAAAGACAAGATGTTTTCTCTATATTTCTACCAGAAGAGGAGAAAAACCCAAACCGAATGTGATGACCTAGAAACGTAAAACCCAAATGGCAGTCTTAAACATTCTCTGCAGCATGTAGCTGAAGGGACATTTTGATCTATATTCTGCTTTTCCACTGACATTCACAAGTCAGCTTCTATTGTATCAATATTACATGGTACCACTATGTAAAAGAATGTTCTTTTTCTCTTCAAAAGGAGGCTGGTTCGTATAGCCTACTCTCAAGATCTTCACAGCTGACATGGGCCCCAATTTGGAGTTTATATAAAGTAGAAGAATTTGAGGTGGTCCAGAACAAATTCATGAGATCAGTTCTAGCTTTACCCCCATGTACACTGGAAGTGATGTTGAGATTAGAAGTGGGCTTTCTATCAATTTATATAAAGGTAAAGAAATCAATAATTTTACATTGTGGGAGACTCGTTCTCATGCCTCATACTTGTTTGGCAAAACAATGCCTCCACAAAAACCTTAGTAGTAATGAATGGGTGAATTTGTGTCTAAAACTATTCTCACAATTTTCACTAGATCAGGAACTGTTGAATGACATAAATTACCATACATTATCGAGAGACTCTTTATTTTTAAAAGATTTTAGACAAGATAAAGAGCATGTATACAAGTTTAAGTTGGCAAAGTAGTACCAATTGCTTAAAGATGGAAAAGGAATGTCATCTTATTTACAGTCTCTCACATCCCACTCCCTGAGACAAGCTTTCACAGAACTTCCTTTTCAGACGATGAGAACAGCCTACTTGGATGGAAGATATAAAGGATTACCAGTTACACTGTTTATGCATTTGTGATAATTCAAGGTGGAAGATCTGATCCGTTAGTTATTACATTGCAAATTATATCAGGAATCCAGAGCTAGGTTCATCATGCCTAGACGAACATGTAACAAAACAAATTGGTTTGTTTGCAATGGCCTCAAGGAAGATAGGAATGCAGATGTTGACAAATAGCACTGTTAATTTTAGGGGGGATGAATGGAACTGATACAGATTGTTGTAGTTTTATATGAATTTTGGTTGCAAATAAATGTATTTAACTAAAATGTAAAATAATTTAGCTCTGGCCTTGTGAAGTGTAACAATTACTCACCCTGGGAAAGTAGAAAATGTGAGAAAGAACAGCTTGTTGTCCTTACAAAGGAGTGAACCTTTGCACAGGCTTTCAAAATACCGTTATTATACCCTACAACAATAAAGTAGCATACCTGAATCCTTGCAGTGTCTGTTCTCGACCTGGCTTACTTAAAAGGATTGATACACTCTGTGGTTTAGCAAAAGAGGTGAATTGGGTGACTTTCCTAGCTGCATCAGTTTTTCAGGTGCAGCCATGGCAAAGAGTCACTCACAAGTCTTCTACAGCCGATGTGATGACAACTGCAGCTTTATCCAGCAGTTCCAAAGCTCTATAACAGCAACATATTTGAATCCTATTTCCCTATTAACTGAACCTCCATAGTATACAGTACAGTTCAACCTTACAATTGTAAAAGGTTGATCCTGAGAATTTCTTGGTCTAAGAATAAGAAACATCTGGTCCTTTGGACATCTTTCACCGTTGACCTTCTGGCTAGGGATGCAGGGAGCTATAATTTAGCAGGAGTGTCTTTTATTGTTTGGCTCCTTTCTAACCTGCTTGTTTAAATGAGTTTTATTGCTTAGTCTACAGAAGAGCTATAGATGGAAGACTGGCACTGGTCCAAATTTGCTCTTCAGAGATAGACAACTACATCCCTTCCTGATATTTTTAAGGTAGGACTTCCACAATCCCTGGCCACCACTAGGCATTATGATTGAGGCTGATGGCTTTTGGAATTTATTTCGAACAGTCAGGCTGGCCACTTCTTTTTTAGGTTGTCAGTTAAACCAGACAATTGAACAGGAAACTGGCACGTTGCAAAGAAAAGCACCATCTTCTTCTATATGTTCTCTATTTTTATGAGTTTCTCTAACTCAGCAAAAACTTTATGGGCTTTCTTAGTAAATAAACGTGGCTATCTACAGCCCAGCAGTCCAAAAAAAAGAAACAAGGGTAAATTTGGCTGGTATCCTGGAAAAATAGAGGGTGGAAGAGAGCCTTCTAGCAAATAGATGTTCTGATCGCTCTAAAATCTCAAGCAGAGCGGAATCCTTTTGTAAGTGGTGGCAGCCAGGAAGTGAACTGGGAATGTGTGTATGGGTGCTATTATTAAATCCCACCATTACATTTTGGCACTGGCTCAAGTCCTATCTCTGTAGTATTTGGAATTGTTACTGCATGTTGGAAATCTGGCAAGTTTATCCATACCCAATTGCTTTGATGCTTCAGGCCAAGAAAATAACTTTTAAACAGATGGAAAATGTTTTCTGAGGATCTTCAAATTCACTTCACTCAGTCTCTTGGGTTATCGCCCCCTTGCTTTAAGGAAGCCCTCTACCTGAAGGAAGCTCCAAGCTTCTGGTCATAGAATGAACAGAACGACATTGTAATAATAGACAGCCAGGCAGATTTGCTGTGTGCGAATATCACAGCAGCCAAATAAAGCAATTTGAAGTCAGGACCATAGGGGTCTGCAGGGGATGGCACAGCGGCAAGCGGTGAAACATGGATCATAATATTGTGATGCAAACTCTGCCCTGTCTGTACTTGTATGCAAAGTTGCAACACTAATATGAAAGGTTAGAGGTGTTATGACATCACCATACATACTTCATAATTTTTGTGTAATCATGGTTAGGAATAGATTCCCATGGATAGGACAGTAATTTCTGGTCATATGCATGTTCTTCTCCTTTGTAGAAACCATAGGGTTGGAAGGAACTTTTTTCTCCATATGGACAGACATCTTTGCAGCAAAGCAACCATCCTTTAGTTGCAGAAAATTGATGCTTTTTGCTATAGCTGAACATTTAATGAGCAGCACATTTCCTCTTCCCTCAACAAATAGTTTACTTTCTCTCCCAAACAATATATGTCGGTGCTTTATTTTCTTTTTTCATTAGAGTGGAACAGTTTTCTGCTCTACATTTTTAAAAATGACATT